GCAGTTAATTTTCCATATAGACGTTTAACAGAATTACAGTATATATTTTGTTGAGCTAATAAGAGTTTTACATCACTAGACAACGAATCCCAATCACTCATATTGTTTGTAATCTGCAATTCTAAACATTCTATCTTGACAACTTTCGAATCTAACTTCTTCTGAGTCTCTAACAATTGATTACTTAATTTCTTAGCTTCATTGCTAGCAGAAACAATCAAATTATCAAAATAAGCAACAGTATCATCAAAAGCAGCAACTTCAGAATCATATGCACTCAAAGGAATATTGAAAGATTGAAGAATATTACGTACCTTAGTTGTCATTGGAGACTTATGGGCAGACTTTGACATAAAGCATCGGCCCGTCAACTCTTCGTCCGAATCTTCCTATAGCTTCGCATACATGACACCATGCGTAGGATTACACATGTCTTCATCATCTGAGCCCGAAGACCAAATTTGATACGTGCCATCATCCTCATGTGCAGCTCTAGCCACCAAAGACAAATTTTTAGCCTTCGCATGCACCTCTTCCAATCTCTCCACATAATACGCTTCGTCCTTTACCCTATTCTTTTTCTCATCCTTCTTTCGAAGCATGCAATCATTTGCTAGATGATTAGCTCCGTTGCAATAATTACAGTCCATACCCAAATCTCCTTTCAGTTTCTTCTCTTTCTTCTCCTCAGCAACCTTCCCATCATTCTTCTCATGCTTCTTCTTCTCCTCTCCTGCAGTCTTGTTCACGAAACTTCCTTTTCCCTCAGTTTGCTTCACCTTTGGATTAAATGGTTTCTTGAAAAACTTTTTGACTCGGTTGTTTGAGTAAAAAGCTATCGCCTCATCATCCGAATTCATGATAAACCCCTCTTTATCATTAGAATCACATTTTTCGACAGCTTCCTTTTCAGACACTTTAGAGACAAGTGCTAACGGACGTCCCAGACTAAGCTTCAACTCTTCTGCCATTTCGTTCACTTCACTTTTGTGAGTTTTCAGTTGATTGTACAAATCATTTAGAGAAGATGTGTCGAAACTCTGTTGATTTTTCACCATCATGCTAACACTCCTCCATTCTCTACGGAGTCCCATAACGAAGGTGAGATTGAATTCCATAGCAGACCTCGTGATTCCATAACGATTGCATTTGTAAATCAACTCATTCAGCCTATCATAGTAACTTTCGATCGTTTCACCATCTTTTTGCTTGAAATCCTTCAATTCAATCAAACAATGCTTAACTGAATTGAATTTGGTCTTCTCGCTACCTTGAAACTTTTCTTTGAGATTATTCCAGATTTCTTTTGCAGTTGTACAACTTCTGACATAGTTATACACAACTGGAGGCAATGCACCGCGTAACTCCCTTATGCATCGTTTTTCAAGTTTCTTCATTCGATCAGTTTGAACATCAACACTCGTAGTACCAGATGAAGATCCAATTGGTTGAAGATTTGTCGGAAGAGTAACATTCCCTGAGATGCATGACCAAAGCTCTTCATCGAGTCCATTCAAGTAGTCTTGCATACGATCAGACCACTGATCATAGTATTCTGGAATGAGCATTGGAATCTTAGTTGAAGATCCTAGCCGATGAGAGTATGAAGTCATCGAGTTGAGATTGAAGTTCGCCATTGATGTACAGATGAAAATTTTTGAGGATTTTTGAGAAATCAAAGAAAATTTGAAAGCAAATTTTTGAATTGAACAGAGATATCAACTAGACCACTCGATTCAACAAATCAGTTGCAGAATCAAATCACAACTGGAGATCTAGAACGCTTTTTTGCGTCAAAAGGTGCAGAAACTTTTTTAACCAGAAATTTGATTCAAAAACCTTTTGAATCAGAGTGAAAATCAGATCGCAGATAATGATTCCTGCTCTGGTACCAATTGATGAAGTGATAAATCGAGAATGTAACAAATCAGAGTAACAAAAATGTAATTTGAACACACGATGTAAATATGATCTTGTTTCAGCTCTATTATGCTTTCAATTCTTACAGAGAGAAAATAGACAAGTTCTTACAAAGACTCTTATCTAACTCTAATTAATGTCCCTATTTATAGGAAACATAAAAGCACACAAAAAATTACAAGGACTAGACATCTAAGCTTCGTTACAAAAATGCCTTGTAAAATAACTTTAAGTCTTCGACATATTACAACAGGTCTTCGACCCTTACACTGTTGGTTCTTGGTTGTTAAGTAGAGAGCCAATTGAGTCGTATGAATGGCTGCTTAAAGCTTTTCTTAGAGCTCGTGAAGGGGAAGCACCAAAAATTGTTCTAACTGATCAAGATGCAACAATAAAACAAGCAGTAGAATCTGTCTTACCAAATTCAAGACACAGACTATGCATATGGCACATAATGAAAAAACTGCAAGCAAAGGTATAATAAAAATACATTATATAATCATATATGATTATATAGTATTATGACAGATGATTCATATATGACTTATCAGATATCATACTATATAACCATATATGATTAATCATATATGATTAACTATTCTAATAGTATGAATTATCAGATACCATATTGTATAAACATATATGATTACATAGTATGTAATATGATAATACAATATATAATCATATATGATTATATAATCATATTATTAAAATACTTAATCATATATGATTGATATAATGATATATAATTAAGTATTTTAATAATATGATTATATAATCATATATGATTATATATGATTAATCATATATGATTATAATAATATAAGTTATCATATATCATACTATGATTATGATGATACAGTATATAGTCATATATAATCATATATGATTATATAATACAATACATAATCATATATGATTAATCATATATGATCAATCCTACATTACAGTACATATATGATATATGATTAATCATACATATATGATATATGATTAATCATATATGATTATATAATAATATATGATTAATCATATATAATCATATATGATTAATCATACATTTCATATCCTACATTACAGTAATCATATATGATTACTCATATATGATATATGATTAATCATATATGATTATATAATCATATATGATTAAGCATATATAATCATATATGATTAATCATGTATGATTACAGTACATATATGATATATGATTACTCATATATGATATATCCAAATAGGTATATAATTTATACTTATATAAGCAAAATTGTTCATTCATAGGTTACTGACGATTTATTTAAAAACAAAGACTTTAAGAAAAGATTTAACAAGCTTGGTTGGAACATGCATATCAAACCTGATGAATTTGAAAAGAAGTGGGATTTGATTATTAATGAATTCAATCTGGAAGATGAAAGATGGTTCAATGATATGTTTGAATTACATGACAAATGGATACCTGCATACTTCAGTGACACAAGAATGTCTGGATTGATGAAAACCACTTCAAGATCAAAAAGCATGAATTCCTTCTTCAACACTTACTCTCAATCTGAAAATTTACTTTTACATTTCATGATGAACTATGACACAACAATTCAAAAACAAAGAAATACACAACAGGAGATTGATCATCAAACAAAGAAGGCGGTATATAAACTTATTTCACCACGACCAATAGAAAAACATGTTGCAAACGTTTATACAAGTACATTGTTTTATGAAGTACAGAAAGAAATCTATAAAGGTTCCCGGTACTGCCAATACGAACATCTTGGAACAAAAAATGGATGGGAGTTATACAAAGTGGAACAACTGAACAAAAACAGTGATCTAAAAAAGAATTTGAGGTAATATATTCTTATTTTAAATTTTGTTGAATCAACACATAATATAAAAAATATTCAGTTATGATTATAAAACACTTAATGCTTTAATTTTATTTTGAACAGGTAGAAATAAAACTTCCAACAAATGATGTAAAATGTACTTGTGAACACTTCAACCGCTTTGGGACTTTGTGCAGACATGCATTAACATACTCATGAAACATGGAATTAAGGAGATAACTGAACAGTAGATTGAGAATCGTTAGAGAAAGGATGTGATATCAAGGCATTATAATTTTGGTAGACATGTATATGATACAGGAGACAGTGAAATTAACAGATCTGTCAATCAAGCATACTACAACTTTGAAGCATGTTTGGAATACGTAGAAAAAATAAAGAAAAAATGGATTTATTTGTTAAGAAAACAGAAATCATGCTGAAGGAATATGAAAACGATCCTACAAATGAATTGCAGAAGAATAGGACAGATGTTGAAGAGGTAGGAAAGCTTATGGGCATATCTATTCCAAAAGACATTGACATCAATGTTCCAAATGTTCAAAGCAATAAAGGATGCGGAAAGAAAAGTAGAATTCACAGTGTAGCAGAAATAGCATATAAAAATTCAAACAAGCAAACAAGAAGATGCTCAGGATGTGGAGAAAGGGCTCCTTATAACTTGCGGACATGCCCAATCAAACTTGCAGCAGAACAATCATTAAAAGCTACATAGATATTTACTACTTTAATCAGTAATGAATAAGTCATGAATTTGTTTTTCAAAATAATATACTTTTTGTTTAGTACACTTTACTCTTTTTATAAAACAAAATTTACTATGATTTTGTCTACTGGATTTAATCTACTTTGATAATTCTTTCTTTGATTTGATAATATATTCACTCATGATTAAACTTCTATTAAATGTTACTACAAGCATTTAAGATTACATATAAACAGTTATTCAATACATGTAATCATTACACATAACCATATACAATATTCATCTATATAATCATAAAATATTATGTAATACTACTTCATATGTTTTGTTTAATCATAAGTGCTTAAAAATATGATTACACATAAAAAACATCTAACCATTACATATAACCATATACAACAACATTGTTCCTAACAAATATACAACACTGCTCATAAAAAATCTAAAGATAACAATATTCATCATCATAGAATAACATCAAACATGATAAAATCTTCAATAACAAACAATTTCACAAGTCTCAAATATCATGTTCCCCATTTTCCAAGATTCTTGTTCTTCATATTTCTAGCTATATTTTTATACAAATTGTAGCTGACTCCAAGAATACTTCCACCATTACTTATAAAGATTATCTCCATTGAACATAACACATCTTTACTACATATCTAATGTAGAGAAATATTGTTCATTAAAAAGAAACCTTCTTTAAATGAACAAGATTCCTCTACTTCAAAGACATCTAGTAAAGATCTGATATGTTCAATGCAGATAAACTTTTTAAGTAATGGTGGAAGTGGTGTTCTTGGAGTCAGATATAATCTGTATGAAAATCTAGCTACAAATAAAAGAACAAGAATCTTTAAAAAATGGGGAACATGTTATTAGATACATCAAAATTATTTATTTTTAACTTATAGAGTCCATAATTTACCTGAAATTAAATGGAAGTTGTTTACATCATAAATAATCAATTCTGATATACAAAAAAATTAAATTAAAAAATATAGAAATTAATATAACAAACTAACCATTGGGGAAGTATAAGCACTCTTCTTTGAGCAAATATAAGGGGTAGCAGAAGGCTACCCCCTTTATAAAAATTGATTCACAACTCAAACACAAACTGGATGTCCCAATTCCTTTTGATTTATAAAGGAAAGATTCTTCACTACAAACACTAAAAAACAAAAGTAAAATCTTAGAAAGATAAGATTCTGCATGCTGATGTGTCCGATGCACTAAAGATAAGCTTACTTATCAATAAAAATATATAATAAATTATAATGTCCTATACATCATATGTAATCATTTATGATTATAAAAACATATAAAAATTAACTGATACAATCACTAATGATTAAATATAACCAAAATATAATTAGTACAAAAACATAATTACATATAAAAATATAACATAATCAGTTATGATTAACATTCAATAACATAATAAAATCCACGAAACTACATATGAACTTGTTTTCCATCACCATAGAAAACAAACATTCTACAAAATATCCATAACATAAGACAACATATACAAACTTGTTCTTAAAACATCATCCAGTCATTTACTTCTAAAATAAGAAAATATTCAATCACAAAAAATTTGACAGACTTGTTTCTACATTCCATTGAGCATCATATGCATGCTTACCACAAAAATTTTTGATCAACTTTTTGATACTCATACGCAACTTTCAACACATCATCACACTTTTTATTAATCTCAGAAGTTAAAATTGCTGCTGCATATTTCATTCTCAACTTCTCTAGAATTTTTTCTTAAGAAGCACCTTCTTTTGGAAGACCACATTTCCATTTAGAACCTTTTTCTCCAAAATAACTCTCCATATGTCTCATAGCAAAAACTCCACAATCCACTTTGTTATAAACTGTCCTACATGGCATTGTCAATCTTACTGGAGGAAGATTTTTATCAGCCATTTCGATTGCTTTAACATGATCGATCTCTTTTAGATACTTCAAAAAAGACTTTTTCTGAAAATCGTATATGATTTCAATTCAGAAAAATATAAGTATAATAATTATAAAACATATCATATATGATTTCAAATCTAAAGAATAAATATCATTTGAAACTTACAAGAGGTTTAAAAAGTGCACCATACTTATCATCGAAATCAGCATCATCTGCACCATTATCGATAACCTCAAAAGCACGTTTCTTCAGATTCATAACAATAAGATATATGTGCTTATGCCTCAAAACCGGGAAAAATACCTAACATCAACATGTATAATATTAGAAATAAAATATTAATATATATATATATATATATATATATATATATGTATAAAAAAATAAATATACCATATCAACATCCTTCAAAACCTTCAAGTCTCTATCACCAGAAACACTGCGAGAGAAGCTGTCCTTGAAAACTTTATATTTTGCAGTTTCATTCAAATGAGTATATTCAAATGACAAAGTCTGTAATATAAGAAAATCATAAATGATTATATAATAACATGTAAATATTTAATAAAAAAATTATTAATGATTATCAAAATATGAAAAGCAAAGAATAAAATAAAAACTTATAGTGTCAGAATTCATTAACAATCTGATATGAGAATTAACAACATCTCTGAATTTCTCTTGATGATTTAGTATACGAGACCATGAATCAAGAACACTAACATGCAAATGGGTTTTTTTATAAAAACTTTCATAATTAGCTCTAAAACCAATAACATCTGTTTCCATAAGCAATACAATATTCATGTATATATTTATTTAAATGTTATTTAAAATAAAAAATTATAATTATAAAAATAAAAAATTATATTAAAAAAAATTACCCTGGATTTCCTTGAAGATTGAAAAGCCATTCACAAACAACATTTTCTACTTGTGTCAAACTAGGTTTAAAATCAATTAACCTTTCCTTAAATGGTGACTTATAAACATAAGAAAACTTCATTTGTATCTTTCCTTTGACATCCACTACTGATGTTGCTTCTTCATTTATATCTTTAGGTTTGCCAGAAACATGTTTTGATGGTCCTTCTAATGTACCCAAAGAGGGTGCAAAAGAAACTGGACTAGCATCAATAACATCAACATTTAGAATAACACACTCTGGACCAGCACTTGGTTTTCCCAAAATAACTCTATCCTTAATCTTTTTCTTTGTCATCCGTTCAGAAGAAATTTGACTTTGAGATGACTTCTTGGAACCTTCAGAATCTTGACTAAATCTAAGACTAAAACTTGGAACAATATCATTTTTCAATGACGGAGTCTCATTTGAATCCTTGTTTTTATTTGAACAATCTTCAACATTTTCTACCCAATAAAATTATAAATATCATATCTGAATAAACAATAATTATAAACACAATTATATATGAATAAACAATAATTATAAACAAATTACCTCCATCTTTATTTTTATTTGAACAATCTTCAACATCTTCACCTTCTTCATCCTTCTTTGCTACAATAACTTTATCAACAGTATGATCTGAAATTACTTTATTCTTATGATCATCCTCGCCTAAATTTACAGTCCCTAAATTATTAAAATCATAAATGAATAATCTATATAACATATTTATATATATTTTATGTATTAAAAATGCATAAATAAATACTTACCATCATCAATACCAGTCAAATTGAAATTCACATCATCTTCAACTAGTTCCTGATTTAAACAACCATCAGTACCTATAAAATTCAAATATAAAAAATTAAAATCATATATTATTAAACTATATATAACAATAAAATATGCCTACCTTGATCCAAAGTTTTAAGAAAAACTTTCAACAACTGGATCGCAAATAAATTGACTAAAAGATACACCTTCCTGGCTATCAATTAGACCCACACTCTTAGTAACATTTTCGACAACATAATTTAAATTCATGGCCTCTTCTTTATTACATCCACTTCCATTTCCTTGTTCATCATCTTCATCATCATCACCTTTACCTTCAACATGTTTTTTACCAATATTGCCCTCATGTGGACCACTTCCATCCCCCTGATCACCAGAAAATTTCCCTTGATCATAATCTTCAACATTTTCATCATCATTAAGAAAATCATTCCCATAATCTTCATCATTAACTTGAACAAAAACAGGTGTTAATATCGGTTCTTTATATTTTTGTGAAACATAATGGAAATCAAAACTTTTTGTGCTTAAATCTTCAACAGGAAATAATAATTTCCAATTTTTCAAATTTTGACTTTGAGGAAACTTCAACACTCCCTCATCTATCTTTACAACAAGATCCTAATTTCAAATCCTCCATCTTCTGATACATACATGAAATTTTACTTTCATACACCTACATAAGAAAAAAGATACTTACAACTAAAATACTTAAACATAAAAAGTCATAAATGAATAAAATAATTAAATCATAAATTAATAAAACTATAGAATTACCTCCACATCACTAACTTTATTAACATCAAAATCTTCTTCATCCTCATCACATAAATCCTCTTCACCATCAGATTCAACCTCATCACCACCAGATTCCTCCTCATTATACTTAGATTCTTGAAATTCTTCTTCAACATATGCTTCATTAACATGTCCACATCCAAGTCCTCCACTCTCTTGTAAAATATCCTCAAGAAACCTTATCTTCTCTGACGTCCAATAAAAAAATAGTTGGACGTTTACGTGTGACTTGAAAATGATCAAACTTGAAAGTATCCACATACAACAACTACAAAAAACATATATAACATCATAACATATATAACATCATATATGATTTTGATGTGTAATATATAATTAAAAAAAATTATACTACATAATCATATATGATTATATGTAATAAAATCATATATGATTTATTATAAAAACAAACATATTTTTACAACTAAAAAGAATAATAAATATCAAAAAATAACTCACGTACCATAAGGTATGCTGCTGGTCCATAAAAGAAAGAAGATTCTTTCACTGGATTGTAAACCTTCTTCGTCCTTACCAAACAATCCACAATGTAATCGCACCAGTCAATGCTACTTAAATCAGTATCTCTTCTGATTAAATACAATGGATTCAGATTACATTTACCCATGCTTGTAGACTCACAGAAAGTATTAATAAAAAGATCCAAAAAAATGATTTTGAAGTTGTCATCCGCAGCACTAGTTTGAACAAGTTCATTCTTTAGCTGTTTCAATCTCAATTTATCAATATTTTCATACTGTTTCTTCCACTCAAACATACAGCTCTCTTCATTATTCTCCGAAATGTATTCCATGTTTGAAAGTAATGAGCCACCAGATGGTAATCCTAATATCTCTTGAACAGACTTACTATCAACACTAACTTCACAATTATCAAACTCCACCTTTAAAGATTCAAAATTAAAATGATCAAGAACATACTGAACAATCTTCAACGGTACGTCAATCATCTTCCTCCCTAACAAACTCCCAAATCCCATAGCCCTAACACAATCCTTCTGTTCTCTGCTTAAACCTTGAATAACACCCAACAATGACCCGGGTGAACATCTATTCTTCAATGAAGGAAATTCTTTTATAACAACAACTTTTTTATCTTTCTTCAAAACTTTAGTTTCTCTCTTTGGTTTCTTTGAAGATCCAGGACGAATCTGAAAATCTGAATCATCTTCATCAGATAGTTCACGTTTCTTACTTACAGTTTTGACCTTAACCCTCAGCTTCACTTTTGGTTGTTCAATAACTGCTTTTTTGGATGTCTTTGAACGTGTTTGCGACACCTCATTCGCCTTTTCTCTTTTGGAAGATAACCGTGTCTTCCTTGAGCTATCTACATTCCCTTTTTTTAACTACAATTTTCATTACAAACATAGTGTTAGTAAAAAATAAAACATACATTTATCATTACTATTCACTAATGATTATAAACACACGTATAAAATCATTTATGATTAGAACAATAAATAAAAATACAACTAAATGTTATATACAATCCACTTAAAAGAACCACAAAGTCAATTATGATTACAAAAATAACTTTATATTCATGTTTGATACATAAAAATACATTTGTCATTACTATTTATCAATGATTATAAACAAATGTATAAAATCATCTATGATGAGAAGTAGAAATAAACATATAACTAAATGTTATGTTCAATACACTGAAAAAATCAAAAAATCATTTATGATTACAACAAATAACTTCAAACATTAAGTTATATGTTTATTTCTACTTATAATCATAGATGATTTTTTTGAACTGTACATTCGGAAATAACAGCACTTCTACCGCATTCGATATTTATTTGATTTTTGAATTTTTTTCGAACATAGTTTCTTTTTGAAATCCTTATCTGTGAAAATATAAACAAAAACTTACATAAAAAACCACCACAAACAAACATAATAAAAAAACATATCAACTCTAAACGAGACAATCATCAAAATCAAGTTAAAATGACGAAAAACCTACTTAATCAAAACAAAAAAACACCATTATCAACATAAAGCGTCAGTTAACTAATTAATAAAAACATGCATTATCAATAAAATGAAAAATAACTCGCATTCTAACCTTTAATTTCGATTAACGAAGATGCGACTTCGTTTTATATTTTCTCCTGAAGACATTTACTGATTTCTCAATAACAGGTAAGAAATGAAAACTAGGGCAAAATGCGATAAAGAAAGAAAAATAGGGTTTCCTGAGAGTTCGAAGTGAGACTTTGATCGAGAAAGAAAAGAAAACAATAGGCGGTTACAATATCATAGCCTGCAAAATTCATATCAATATTTATAAAATTACAACAATAGCCCGACAATCGTAAATTAACGGCGTTCGTTCAATAAGTTACCAATATAATTACAAATATGCCACCGCATAGTTTCAGAAACAAACATAAGCAAATCAAACGGTTATACACATATCTCACGATCTTTAATTTTTTTTTTTACCTCAAAAGAACCATATATATATATATATATATATATATATATATATATATATATATATATATATATATATATATATATATATATCTACTTTATTCCACCAAGAGGTGGTTTTGGGCCACCCCAACATCACCATTGCCACCACCCATTTTGCCCTCCTGCCATCGTCGATCAGCACACCACCCACAACTCTTTCCCTTAACTCTTCCCCTTCTCTCATTCTCGCAAATAAAAGAAGAAAAGAAGGCAGCAGGAGGCCTCCGACGCAAGCCATTTGCCACCACCTCCTGTTGCTGCCACCATTATTTCTGACCTGCCACTATAAGTATTTGACCACCACGACCATCATTTCCTTATTTTCTTGTGGTGTTCATGTCCTGATCAGTCGATACGAGAGACCCAGATTGTGGGTCGTGCTTTCTTTTCTTTCTCTTTGTGAAATTGTAATCAGGAGGGAGATGGAAGCAATTGTTCAAACATTAATTCAAAATATTTAAAAACAACCCCCTTTTTGTCTATTATAACAAAACTAGTCCTTCTTTGATTTATATTAATTATTTTAGCCCCTTCCTTGGAAGTAAATTGCAAAACAGCCCTTTTCAAGCTTGCTTGCCTTTGCGATCATAAATAGAAAGCGGAGGAGGAATCCTCCTCAAACCAAACCTTGATTTAAAAATAATTCCTTTCATCCTCCCTTGGATAATGTTGAAAAATATAGCCCTAACTTGAAAAACATGGATTAAATCCATGTCATTTTCATCCCCCTTTGTTAAATGTTAACAAAATAAGTCTAATCCTCAAACTTGATTACCAATTAATCAAAATCAGTCCCTCATTTGATATATTTTTGCAAAACAACCCCGGTCTAGGATCGTTGCTAGTTCGTGTTTCTCGCGGTGCTTCCTGGCTCAAATCCTACACTTAGCTAACTCGAAATCATGCTACAAAGATGACTGCTACGACCCCCTATTAATTTTTTATTATATTGAGGGAGAATACTTGTGAAACATGTATATCGATTATTAAAAATGCATACGGAAATTCATATCTTGCATAAATGACATTTTATCTAAGTGTTATATTGTAACGCCCATGTTTCTAGGCAAAGCATTAGTGTGATGATGTAATAGATAGGGTCAACAATTTTATAACCTATGTTGAAGTAATAAAAAGGAATTAATGGAATATTATGTGAATTATGTGATTTTATGTGCATTATACTCATTTATTAGATATAATAAATTAAGAATGAAAATAAGCATAAAAAATAAAATAATAGATCAACCCAATATCTATGAAGAAAGTTTTGTTGGTGTTTCAAAGATTCTGCAGATATAAAGAACGCCGAAATATGAGTTATAACGAAGAAATTATGACCTGTCGAAGTTTACGGCTAAACCGGCACGACACCACGTAACGTAAAAAGTGCCTTTTTGATAAATTACTTTTTAGCCTTAGCGATCTAAACGAAAGTCGTAGTATACGTTAAACCGAGAACGTGCATAAAAAGAACGTCCAAATCTGACTTCGTATGAGGAAGTTATGATTTTTCTAAGATTTAGCACTGTAGCTCACAACCCGGAATTCAAATTTTAGATCGATCGATTTTTAGCCAACACAACCCAAATGAGAATTGAAGATGTCATTAATAGGAGTTCAACGATAAAAAGACAGTCGAAAACGGAGTCCGTATGTAGATGTTATAAATTTTACATAGTTGTTAAACAATGTAATCTTCTCATACTGTTAAATTTAAAATCGGTTGAGAAATAGGCGATGGAGTCAAAAGGAGAGTTGTAGATCTTGTAATTACCTATGCGTGGATATAAAGAACATAAAAAACGGGGCTCGTATGCAGAAGTTACGTAATTTAGAAGTCGGGAGTGTGCTGTTGCGAAGAGGGTGACGTGGCCGAATCTTGGCCATTGCTTTCTCCCTACACCTTGCCACCAGATGGTGACATGTGGCACCAACTCGACGAGTTGGAGCTTAAACACGACGAGTTGAGCCATTTTTCAGCCTATAAATAGGATGCGAGAGCACCCCATTTTCTTCACACCAAAAGCTTTTCTCTCTCTCTCTCTCTCTCTCTCTCTCTCTCTCTCTCTCTCTCTCTCTAAATTCTCTCGAAGCCCTTCCAAAGCCCTAGTAACTTCTAAGTGCTAGAGGAAAGCCTCGGAGTGCCCGAAGGCTCCAAGAAAAAGAGCTTTTCAGCTCGGAAACTCTGCCCCCGCAGAGCCCGGTTCATAGCCAAACCCCCGATAAGTGAGATATGCTTACCCTACTTTAATTATAGATTTTTTTTTAAAATTTAGTAATCTTATTATGAACTTATAAACAATATATATATATATATATATATATATATATATATTATAAAATATAATATATAAAGTGTTATTATAATATCTTTTAACTACTCGCGGTACGGGGAATCTGGTTTGGAGGGCTGCATAGGGTTGTTGGATTTCAGAAGTGCTATAATGCCAAAATGGTCATGCCCTCCAGTGTTTCATGTCTGGCCCCTGTCTGTACATAGTGGTTGAAGAGTATTGTTTAACACGTACAAAATAATAACGCTCATAATTAGTCGCAATAAATATTAGACTAAAATCTAGTGGTAATAATACTGGATTTCGTTGAAGGAAATTATATTGTTAAGAAGCGAAGCGCTGTCCAAGTTGGAATCACCACTTTAACAAGTGAGTACATAGTTACTTTCGTCTTACACATAGATATGAAGTATTTAATATAAATTACGTATTATGTGTGCATATTATCTGTGTTCTTGATATGTATGCTGGATGAATGATTTATACATGTTTTAAAGGATTTAAACTGTATATGTATTTTATATCTCCAAATATGTTGGGTAGAACATGGGTAGATGAAATAGTTGATGTGTGCTGAAATAAAATGATGAGAGGCCTCGATGTTTACGATGATCTAGCCATCTAGCGGAGTATAGATGACGACCACAGACTATTCTAGACACTCTAGTGGAACGCTAGCAGGCTCGCAACCTGTTGGTGTTTGTGAACGATGTGTTCACCGGTGTACTCCGTCCCCCTCATGGTTGCCTTACAAACATTTATTGATGAGGAATCCCCCTTAGCAGTAGTGTCCATCCCGATGAAAATCCTTAGGCTAGGTCCCTTAAATTAGATGCTTTAGGGATAGAAAGTGAGGATAACGGGAATAGGTAATCGGGTTGATTGATGTGATGAAACTAATAAACATAATTATTGTGGGTTGAAAACCCTATGTGCTCAATAGGCTCCCAAGCGTGACCTACTCAGTTTCTTGTATAAAGTTAGTGGCAAGAGAGCACAAGAGTGATGATCAAATGAGAGATCAATGGATTATAGGCCACTAGAATAAATAGATGTTGTATGGCGTATGTTTTTTCGGTTTATGCTTTTGATCTGTATTGACAATGACATCCCGAGGTTTTAATATAATGAAATACATTTCTTCAGAAATGCTTTGATAAAATCTTTATCATATTTTTGGGAACAAATTCCGCAACACTTACTACTACAGAAACACCTTCTTATGACACACAATGTGTGTCGTAAAACTCTTAGGCGACACACAAATGCGTGTCAAGGAAGGCCCTATCATAACGAAAGACGACACGCTTTTGCGCGTCGTCTATTTACGACACGCATTTACGAATCTCATTTACGACACGCAATGCGTACCAAGGAAGACCCTGTCATAAAGGAAGACGACACGCATTTGCGTGTCATAACCTTACGACACGCGTTTGGGATACACATTGCATATCATTAAAGCACCTGTCATAAATGAATATGACACGCATTTGCATGTCATAAACTTCAGCAACCATTTACGATATGCATTTATGGCGCGTCTTTACGATACTCATTTACGCATAATACAAAAATATGGAAACAAATGTATACGAAAACAATTAATTTCATCCAATAACATCATGTCAAAAAATTCTAATACATTGGTTTTAAGGGGATCTGATTGTACATTACTATTAAGAGGTTTTCCCTAACTATATAACCTAACACTACATTGCTATTAAGGGACACCTTGTTTCAGATATCATGTCAAAAAAATCCTTCATGTCAAAAATTGGTTGTTGTCCACCGGGTGTAGATAGCAAGTAATGACTTGAACATTAGCTGAAACAAAAAAGCTTTTATTAATCACACAATCAACAACTTTTAGAAGTACATCAGAATGCATATATATACTAACAGATGTGATATAATATGTACGATCCTATAAAAAGAAAAATATCAAAAAACAATTTAAGGAGTAGATTGCCGATGATAATGAATAATAAAGAAATGCCTCTTACTAGATGATCCAAGAACTTCTCCGACTTATCATTGAGTGAAGGCAATTCGCTCATACGAAATTTACTCAAAAACTTTCGCTATTGAAACAAACATTATGAGGAGCAAAGGAGGACTACAACACTCTAATTCTTTACTGATAATACCAATATAGATAACTTGAAACGTATATAAATAGTATATATATTACCCATAATATTAGTTACTTTAGGAGTTGAATGTTTAGTTTCAAAGCCCTAAAAAGAGCTTTTTCTGCTCCAAGAATTTACACAGTGCTTCCAGGCTGTTTTGCAGGGTCTAATAAGCTGCCACCATGGGCAATTAAGCGTGCCCCCACATAAATCTTTGATGTTGGTTAAATCAAGTTTACTGACTTCTGTTCCCATATATATATATATATATATATATATATATATATATATATATATATATATATATATATATATATATATATATATATATATATATATATATATATATATTGTTGGATTAGGTGTCTAAGCCCATAAGTATAATTGGTATGTACTTGACCCGATAGTAGCAGGGTCCTTTTGGTTTGCCTTCACCATAGCAACTGGATAAGATGAGTTTTGGAGAAAGAGGTTAAATGATGATTTATTAATATATTATAAGAATAATATATTTATTGAGAAATCATATTACTTAATTAGTATTGATCAAAAATTAGTTTGAAATTAATTTAGTGATCAAAAGAAACTGAATAAAAGAACGGAGACTGATTATGTAAATCAGTGATACTTGTTGTTTGGGCTAATGGACCCTATTGATAAGGGGTGGACGGAAATCTATGGGGAGCCCATAGAGTTTTCATCCAAGGCCTGTCATGTGGGTGTCTGTGGATTGTTTAAGGCCTAAGCAAGGAAATTAGGGTTTCCAGTTGAAAACCCTAGCAACCTCAACTATAAAAGGAACCTCG